CATTTACCAGTTTCAACTATCCAATAAAGTGATCATAAATCAGTAATTTGGCCAATTTCACACAAAATTCAACAATTGCCAATTTGAAAATAGGGTCCAGAATAAACAATTCTTCTGCTCCTTAGTCACATCTCCAAGTCCCTCATATATTACACTTGCTTTTCATTTTGAATTTTTATTCACACACACAAAAAAAAAAATAGAAAATTTACTCTCATTCAGACTACTGCATTATTCTAATAATTGTATAAATGCATATTAGATAGCCAGCTGGATGTGTACTGAACAAGGGACATATTCTAGAATATCAGCAAATATTAAATATTTCTATTTTGAGCTAAATTTCAAGCTACTTTCAATCCTGAAACTAATCAAAAACATCTCTATTTCTGCAATATATATCATTCATAAAAAATGTATGAAAATACACCACAGTCACTGTTTTAAACCAAAAACATGGCCGCGGTCTTCTTTTCTCGCGCACTGCGTGCGACAGGATTTTTTTTTTTTTTTAATATGATGAACACTTACCGCATAGACCCATTCTCTCATATCTAAGCCTAAATTTACCACTCACAGCTTATCTGAGTGAGTTGAGCTCATGATGTCATAATACAGGACTGACATTGACTTCAAAGCCATGATACAATGGGAATGACACAAAGAGTTAATGCATACTTAAAATAGTACTATTTTCATTTGGCTACCTCACTTTTGTACACAGTATTCTGTGGGCACAGATAGCAATCATTAGGTCATCTGAGAGAGACTGGAGATGCTCACTGTTTTGCAGTACTTGACCATTCCCCAGGATGCCACCCACAATGGTCTACTAACACACAGGTACCTTTTTAGTGAAGGTGAAGAGAAGCAGTGGATGTAAGGAGACTCATCCACATGTCTCAACCTGCCCAGTAGTCACAAACAACTTCAATCACTTTATCACCAAGAAAGAAAACAAGCAATTTGAGGTAGGATAAAATTCTTTATAGTTTCAATTATAAACAAGAGAATTGTATAGTGAAACGTGATGAATCAAATGATGAAATAAATGGTGTCAGCTAAGAGACCACCCACAGATATCTACTGAACAAATGAGCTACACAATCTATATACACTTCCACATCAGCATGCAAGAGAACAAAGAATTTAAGATATGATAAAATTCCCCTTATGACTATTATAAATAAGAATTGTATAGCAAATCACGTGACAGCATCAAGTGATAAAATGTACGAGCCAAATCAGTTAATAAAACATATGGACTCGGCCATCTACTGTGAAGTGAGTTTCATAACTAGCTTCAAACACTTCATCAACCAATAAGAGAAACAAAGACTGTATGGTAGGGTAAAACTCCTGTTACTTTTTAAGCATAATAAATACTGACATAATTGTATATTAAATTGATAACAATCACTCGCAGTGTACTAGCAGTCTCACCTTTTCTAAATGGAGCATCATTACCATTTTCTTTGGAAAGAAAAGATGGTATACCATGTCAAACACCAGTCACTGACACAAACTTCTTATGGGCCTCATTAAGCACATTCATTTAATAAACAATTTTTTTTTTCTCAGGATATAGGTTGTAACATAGCATACATTTCTATTTTATTAACAAGCAAAACACAAATAACCCGCACATAGAAGAGAAGAGTTTACGACGACGTTTCGGTCTGACTTTGTACCATTTACAAAGTGTGACTTTGTAAATGGTCCAAGTCGGACCGAAATGTCGTCGCAATCTCTTCTCTTCTATGTGTGGGTTATTTGTGTATCGTTCCAGTCACGGTATTGTGCCTTTTTTTGTTATTCATTAACAAGCAATGACATTTAAGCATACAGTGGACCCTCGACCAATGATGGCATCGTCTAACGTTAAATCCGACTAGCGATACATTTTAGCGCAAAAATTTTGCCTCGATTAGCGCTAAAAAACTCGACCAACACAATTCGTTCCATTCAAGACGCGTCCACTTGTGGCCAGTGTTTACAAGCCAGCCAGCCACCGTGGTCGCATCCAAATATACAATCGGAACATTTCATATTATCACAGCGTTTTTAGTGATTGCACCTGCAAAATAAGTCACCATGGGCCCCAAGAAAGCTTCTAGTGCCAACCCTACAGCAAAAAGGGTGAGAATTACTATGGATATGAAGAAAGAGATTATTGCTAAGTATGAAAGTGGAGTGCGTGTCTCCGAGCTGGCCAGGTTGTACACAAAACCCCAATCAACCATCGCTACTATTGTGGCCAAGAAAACGGCAATCAAGGAAGCTGTTCTTGCCAAAGGTGCAACTATGTTTTCGAAACTAAGATCGCAAGTGATAGAAGATGTTGAGACACTGTTATAGGTGTGGATAAATGAAAAACATATAGCAGGAGATAGCATCTCTCAAGCGATCATATGTGAAAAGGCTAGGAAGTTGCATGACGATTTAATTAGAAAAATGCCTGCAACTAGTGGTGATGTGAGTGAATTGAAGGCCAGCAAAGGTTGGTTTGAGAGATTTAAGAATCGTAGTGGCATACATAGTGTGATAACGCATGGTGAGGCTGTCAGTTCGGACCAAAAATCAACTGAAAAGTATGTGCAGGAATTCAAGGAGTACACAGACAGTGAAGAACTGAAACCTGAACAAGTGTTTAATTGTGACACTGACAATGTTGTGAAACATTTTAGGAATGTCATAAAGGAACAGGAGGTACAGGCCTCTATGGACAGACATGTTGTGCGACAGAGGTCCAGCGACTCTCAAGCTGGTCCTAGTGGCATTAAAAGAAGAAGGGAAGTAACCCTGGAAAAGGATTTGACACCTCAAGTCCTAATGGAAAGGGATTCCCCCTTCTAAACACTAACACCATCCACACTCTCCCCGCCTCCCATCCCATCAATCATCACCAAATCTTCAATAAAGGTAAGTGTCATGTAATTGTACATGTCTTCTTCAGTTTGTGTGTATTAAAATTAATATTTCATGTGGTAAAAAAAAAAAAAATTCAATACTTTTGGGTGTCTTGCACGGATTAATTTGACTTCCATTATTTCTTATGGGGAAAATTAACTCGACTAACGATAATTTTGATTAACAATGAGCTCTCAGGAACGGATTAATATCGTTGGTTGAGGGTCCACTGTATTTTGTCAAAACCTTCACTACTGTTGACAAAATAAACACTCAAAAAATTTATTTGGTCTTTCTGGAGGTGCTGTGAACCCAACCCTATATTTTCCATACATGTGCTGTGCTCATCATTAAAGTATGCCATCCACCTCTCAAACCACAAAACAGGTTGTCCCTTGCACTTTAGGGCATCCTTCAAGGGGCATATTCCTCCACATCTCACAGAATACAACTCCAAACCCTAAGATTGGGATATCTTTTCCCTAGTAGATCTCGATCACGGTCCAGAGGTTCTCTTTCATGGTTAATTCTGGGAAATCCTAGCTAATCACTGAAGGGTATCTCTCAGTCACAAAGCCACTGAACAACAGATTTTGCAGTGGAAAGGAGCACACATGCATGTATAAATCTTTTCACCACACTGCATGAAAGATTTGTACAAATAGCAGAACAATTTTATTACACATGACATTAGGAGACATTTCTAGGATTTCCTGGACATGCCTTTGGTGTGATGTCATTAACACCATCCTCAAGGACCCAAATACAACAGGCTCTCAATGAATGCTCACACATGCCAATCACTTCTACTATTTCCTTCATTTGATGGCTTGTCTTATGTAATCCAATGATGTGTTCAATGGTCTGTGTCAATGCCTTACTCCTGGCCATGTTAATATATCTACAGCCAAAAAAGTCCTACAAACTCTGCCCTCAACACCATACAGTGCAGGGAGACCATAAAGTCAGATCCATCCACCACACAAGCCTATTAGGCATTTTGGATGCAGCCTTAAATAATCCTGAATGTCCCACTGCAAGCTAGCATATCTGTCTCATTGAAACTCCTACCAAAGCAGGATATTACTGTCAATACCGAAGTATTCCAGGTGCCTCCACTGGCATACTTTCATGACAAGCGCTGATTTCATAGCGCGAAATTACGTAAGAGCACCAATTCCATAAACGTAATTCCCATATATCTATGGTAATTCAGTGTGCCTGAATTACCATAGATATGACACACCCAGGTGCATCCTGCATTCAATACTCTCTTGCATTCACTACTCTCTATCAATCTGGATGAAGGTGAGAACAAGGTCCAGAATTATAGATTCTTTATTCTTCTTAATCTCTCTTCTCTTTCAACAAGCTGGCAATATCCCACTGAGGCAGGGTGACCTAAAAAGAAAAACCAAAGTCTCTCTTTTTAAATTTAGTAATGTATACAGGAGAAGGGGTCACTAGCCCCTTGCTCCTGGCATTTTAGTCGCCTTTTACAACATGCATGGCTTAAAGAGGTAGATTTCTGTTTCACTTCTCCATGGAAATAAGAGGAAATAAACAAGAACAAGAAATATTAAGAAAATAGAAAACACACAGGGGTGTGTGTATATATATGCTTGTACATACATGTGTAGTGTGACCTAAGTGTAAGTAAAAGTAGCAAGACATACCTGAAATCTTCCATGTTTACAGGACAGAAAAAAAGACACCAGCAATCCTACCATCATGTAAAACAATTACAGGTTTCCGTTTTACACTCACCTGGCTGGACGGTAGTACCTCCCTGGATGGTTGCTGTCTACCAACCTACTACCACAGGATGGTAGTACCTCAATGGGTGGTTGCTGTTTACCAACCTACTACCACAGGATGGTAGTACCTCCCTGGGTGGTTGTTGTTTACCAACCTACTACCACAGGATGGTAGTACCTCCCTGGGTGGTTGCTGTCTACCAACCTACTACCTATGATTCTTCTTAATATTATCAATTATTTAACTTTGTGCCTTAATTATTTCTGCATCACAAAATAGTTCAGCTTGCACTTACATTTCTTTGGACTTGTGTGTGGGGTCCCACTTTCCTTGAGGTTGAATTACCCTGTTATCACTAGTTTAGACACATCTTGTTTGCTACCTCATACAGCAGTTTTAAAAATGACATTAACCCCTTCACTGTGTGTCTGGCAGATATGAGTCATTGATACTAGTGTCACCTATGTAGTTTTGATATGTACCTTTGATGAGTTCCAAAAGTTTTTCTGCTCCCAGCTCCAAGCCACAGGCCAGGCTTGTCTGGTGCAGTGAGCAGCAAATTTTGGATTAGACATGAGAGAATGGATCTGTACAATGATTATGTACAGTATGAAAAGTCCTACCCCACATGATGTATGATGGGAAAAGTGAACCTGTATCTGGTTTAAAACACCGCCTCTCCTCACTTAGCAATGTATTTGTTTACCGACGTCTTAGACTTACAACAAGCACTCTGACCAGTATTCATACCTAAATATGTAATGAATGTAAGAGCTGATTTCCTTTATTCTGTTTATTTCAGTATACAGTACACTACTGTATAAACATTTAAAAATATACCAGAAATGTTATAAATGGTGCAAGGGTGACAGTAACCCTTAAACTGTCCAAGCAGATCTACATTCACATGCGTAGTGCTTCAAAAGTACATCTATGTTTTTTTTACATATTTTCAAATATAACAAAATAAAAAAAGTAGATCAAAGTTTTTTTACACTTTTTCAAATGTAAAAAAAGAAAAGAAGATCTACTTTTTTTTACATACTTTTAAATGTTGAAAAAACGTAGATCTACGTTTGAACAGTTTAAGGGTTAAAATAACATCCAAGATGGTTGACAAAACTCACTACCATTATAGAATGCTCATCACTTAGTGACAAATTCCTTTAACTATGTGGTCTTAGGAAAAATGAAAGGAAAGAGGAATGAGTGGAAAGGGAATGAAAAAGAGAAGGAAACTGAGTGGAAATTAAGAGGAAACTGGAGTGAGAAAGAGATGTTACGAGAGGTGAGAGGGCAACTAGGAGTTGAAATGAAAGTTTGGAAAGATGAAAAGAAAGTATGGAGATGAAAGGGAGGTTATGAGTGAAAAGGAGGTTAGAATTGGTGAAAGAAAGAACAGAATGGGTAAAAGTGAGGATAGATGACATGTAAGAAGAATAGCGCAGATAAAAGAAGGATAGCAGAGACAAAAGAATAAGAGCAGAGATACAGTACAGTGGTACCTTGAGTTACGAACATAATTCATTCCAGAAGACCGTTCAAGTGCTGATACCGAATGAATTTGTTCCCATAAGGAATAATGTAAATTAGATTAGTCCGCTTCAGACCCCCCAATAATACACTTACAAAAGCACTTACAAAAATACACTTACATAATTGTACGAGTTGGGAGCTGTTTGAAACTTGAGGTACCACTGTATACCAGAGATAAAAGAAGAAAAGGAAAGAAAAAAAAGAAGAGTAGAGATAAAAGAGTAGTGATAGAAGAAAAGCAGATAAAAGAAGAGCATAGATAAAAGAAAAAGAGCAGAGATAAAAGAAGGATAGTAGAGATAAAAGGATAGCAGAGATAAAAGGATAGCAGAGAAGAGAGGGAAGATACGAGAGAGCAGATATGTTAGGGAAAAGGGAAGAATATGAAAAGACAGGTAGGACAGAAGGAAGGAAGGTATGTTGGGGAAAGGAAGGATGGGGTAGAAAGGATAGGACAGAGAAAAAGGATGGGTATGGTATGGAAAAGGAAGGATATGAGAAACGATAGCATAGGAGGGAGAATAGTGGAAAAGCACACACAGGATAGGGGAAAGGAAACATAGTATGGGGAAAGGAAACATAGGATAGGGGAAAGGAAACATAGGGGAAATGAAAACACAAGATAGAAAGAAAGGAAGGACAGGGCAGGCAAAATGAAGGATAGAAGGTAGTATAATACTGGGGAAAGAGAGGATATGAGGGGAAAAAGGAGGATAAAGAGATAGAGAGATTAGAGGAAAGAAATATGATAGGAAAGTGAACAACAAATGGGGAATGGTAGGATGAAAGAGAGGAAAACAATAAGAGTGAAGAAAATGGACAAGTTGAGTGAAAGGTTGAAGACAAAGAAAGCACTGACTCACTTAGCAGGTGAGTGACAGGTTGAAGACTAAGAAAGCACTGACTCATCACTCAGCAGGTGAGTGACAGGTTGAAGACCAAGAAAGCACTAACTCACTCAGCAGGTGAGTGACAGGTTGAAGACCAAGAAAGCACTGACTCACTTAGCAGGTGAGTGACAGGTTGAAGACTAAGAAAGCACTGACTCATCACTCAGCAGGTGAGTGACAGGTTGAAGACCAAGAAAGCACTGACTCACTCAGCAGGTGAGTGACAGGTTGAGGACAAAGAAACAAGGGCCATGACTTACCTCATTTCAAAAACATCTTGTAATTTTCTGGCCATGGCTACAACGTCATGATCAGGAGGGTTATACTTGTAACAATTGGTAAATATTGTTCTAACATCTGCTGCAAACTCTGCACCATTCTTGTACTCTCGGTTATCCATTTTATT